ACTTTATTTCTTTTCTTTCCTTTTCATTTCTTATGCTTTTTCATACATATCTCATTTTATTTTATCTTATCGTTTCTTTCATATCCTGATTCTTTCTTTCTTGTCCTTTTCTTTCTTTTTACCATTTCCAGGTTGCTTTGAATAACCTTTCTTTTTCTTTCTTATAATTCGTTCTTTTCATTCATTTTTCTTTCTTATATTCAGATGGGAGAATGAGAATAGAAAATAAGCACTTTTTAGAAAAACACGACAAAATCAATGTATGTTGTCAGGCATTAATATTTTCCAGTTTATAATAAGAATCTGAATGTAGTTGTTTTTATTGGCAAATTTATAGATTGTGATTTCTTTTCAGTCCATTTCGATCGTTTTCTCTTGTTTTTTTTATCCTATTCTGTAATGACTACAGCTCATCCTGCCATATCTCCGAGCCACGATGGGAAAAACGAGACTATCTGCTTTGGCACTACTTAGTATTGAGCGTGATGAAGCAGACAACATTGCTAACTTTGATCATGTTATTAACATATTTGCTGATGCAAAAGCACACAAAATCCAGCTGCGAGTTTAAACAATGTTAAAAATTGAGCAAGACTCTACTATAAGATAAATTTAGAGAATAAGAATAGTGGACTGCTGAATGCGATAAATACAACAGCCTTACAAATTAAGATAATGGAAAAGTTGTATACAAAGTTCCTAACATTGTAATGCAGTTTCAGTAGTAAGAAACAGGGGTGGCACCAGGCCCACTTTGAGGATAGCTAGGGATATTTCAAAATATTATAATCATAATTCAGAGGTTGTAGATCGCATCTACTGGAATACTCTCGCTATTATGTATACTTTATACAGTCAATAAAGTGCGCCCTCTCTAATGAGATTAGTTTTTGTACTTCGCATCTCGCACAATGCGGTCATTCGGTTAGACTGAGGTATGTTTGTTTAAGTGTCAAAATCTCAGTCAGAATCAGTTTTTGCTAGTGTCAATACTAGCAACGAAAAATATCATGTCGGCCGTTTTTATGTGTGATAACAGAACCTAAATCGAGGTAAGGCTAGGCCTAGCCTAGCAGCATTGGATAGGCTAATGTTTTCGGTGCCTATGATAATTCTTCTCACGACCTATCACAAAATCAACATGAAAAATTCATCCGCATTTATTTTTTGTGTGGAACACAAAAAATCAAATTTCAGTCTTATTCTACATTTTTTTCATTCTTAAACTAGCAATTCCGTATTATATTTATAAATCTTTATAACATTATACAAAAATTAGATTTTTCTTAAAAA